ACAGTTATCATTGGAGGGAGGGTGGTAGACCACACAGATAATCAGGCAGGAAAAGCCACGGAAAAGTTTATTTGGTCTCAGGTAAAGCCAAAGTGATTCAAAACTGTCTTCATGCAGATCTGTTAAGATTTTAAAAGGAATCTGGTCTTTAATATAAGCACAAACGCCACCCCCGATTCTAGAAATTCTATCACGCCGAACTAAGGAAAAGCCACTAATTTCAACGGCACCGTCATCAATATTTTCATTTAGCCATGTCTCAGTTATAAAGGCCAACCCAACCTCATTCATATGCAAAATAGTTTTCAGTTCATCAATCTTAGGTAAAAGTGATCGAGAGTTCACTAGAAAGAAAGTTAATAACTTTCGCGGAAGGCGAAGGGAAACGAAGGTTGGCCAGGGATTTCCATTAAGGTTTTCGGGCAATGTTGAAAAAACCGAGCAAACTGGGAGTAACTTTGAGGACTTCGGTTGACACTCATTCCGTGTGTTCTTAAATGTGGGACCATAGGAGGACGATGGTAAGGATGGTAAGAGAAAAAAGGTGGGTTGGGATGGTTATTAACAGGCCGTGATGCCGTTCTGTTATGATTGGTACTGTGGGAAAAATCACACCCGCTATACCCTTTAAGCAATAGCCTCGATTTTTGCAAAAAGGGACAGGGCACCAAATGTTTTTGTTCACCACGTGGATGTTTAAAATCGCAACGCCTTCCCTTTGCACACCACCCTCGACGCTTAAGAAATGGGCAGGGTATAGTGCCTTTTCCAGTATTATTATCTTCTTTTTCAGGTTGTGATTTTAGGGGCTTCGAGGTTCTATTCACTAATGTACCAGTATCTTTTTTCTGTTTACTCGGTACTAGTATTTGCTTTGAATGCGACTCATTAATATTCCCTAGGTCAATGTCATTGGTATTCGGGTCATTGGGTTGTTGACTCAGGTTACTAAGGTCGATATTACTAGTATTCACCTCAGTGGCTTGTTGTCTAACATGTAATGGGATTTGATTTTGTTCCTGAGGTGTGCGTGTTCCAACAACGTTAAAGCTCGAATTCCTAAGGTCAATATCAATAGTATTCGAGACTATAGATTTTTGAAGATCAATATTATTTACAGTTAGATTAGCACTTAGTTCGTTATCACGAGATAGACTGTTGTTAGTATTGCGAGAACAGCTCAAACTATTTTTATTCAAGCTACTAAGTTGGTCACTGTCACGCGTTGGCGATTCCTCTATAATGCTAATTGGGTTACCTGATCCACTACCTTTGTTCTGATAGTCTTGGGACATATTAAGCACTAGCTTCTCGAGGAATAATAACTTTTATTTAAAAAATACATTCTCCTCGATAAGTCGGCGATTAACTTCATCTTGATTCCGCACAACGCCTTCCAATTCTTTTAATTTTACCCTAAGCAGGTTAATGTCCGACTCATATTCGTTTTCCGACAATGCAGTAAGCAGCCGCGATTCCAGAATTGTAAGGTCTAATTTAATACCCTCCAGGCTCCATATCAGCATTAATATAAGCACAGCTACAGCTACTATCAGATGCATCCATGCGTCCCGTATTTATTGCCGCATGTTCGGCTTCTTTATAGTTATTACTTGTTACTTCAACTGCAGGACGTGCTAGGCCGGCAATATTTTGAAGCTCGGATTTAATATCGTCGCTCAACTTCCCATTTACTGTAAGCGACTTACTGTCTGCATAACAACTTATGGCTAAATCGTTTAGTTCGAGCAATTTACAATAACCACCAGATGCCGACCATTTTGATTCGTTCTTTGTCAATTCGGTCATCAACATTTTTAGGCTTTGGAAGGGACCATTCCATTTGAATTTGCCTTTATCACCTACTGTTAAATATTTCACTACATTATCAGTATATTTCTCTTGATCAATGATTAATTTCTTGCCCGAATCATACTTCTCATCAGAGCTCACAATTGTATGACCGTCCGCCATTTTATTACGTGCCTTACGTCGTTTGCTGGATATTTGTTGGCGCTGAAACTTGCTGTCGTCTGTCACAAGGCATGAAAGGAAATTTTCTCGTTTCATTCGGCAACTCGAAAAGATCAACTTCCGAACGCTTTGCTTTCACCATGGAATATAGCTTCATCCAGTCCTTCGCCCAAAACTGGTGATGTATGTCCCCCTTCGGCTACGATTTCCTGCAGTAAACGGAGGTTTTCATTAGAGACCTTAAGATTGACGTTTACGGCAAACGTCAAACCGCTAGCACAGTTTTTGATTTTACAACTCTTTTATTATAGCTTTTACACCAGTTTTGAAATATGTTAGACTTATGAAATTTGTGCTCTTTAGCAATGATTTAAGAAAGCAAATTAACCACAAATCATGCCATTCACCAAAGCAGTAAATTAAGATTTGGCGTTTGAAGTTGACGTTTGGCGTATAAATTTCATGCTTTAACGACTACAAGCCCTCGTAGCAGTGCAAGCATGAAATTTATACGCCAAACGCCAACTTCAAACGCCAAATCTTAGTTTACTGCTTTGGTGAATGGCATGACTAGTGGTTAATTTGTTTTCTTAAATCATTGCTAAAGAGCACAAGTTTAATAAGTTTAACATATTTCAAAACTGGTGTAAAAGCTATTATAATAGAGTTGTAAAATCATAAACCTCGCTAGCGGTTTGACGTTTGCCGTAAACGTCAATCTTAAGGTCTCTAATGTCCTCTTTCTGCACCACCAGCTGCCCCATTTCGTTTTTGGGTATGTGAAAAAATACACGACTAGCTTCAGCGATTGCCCCGCGTGCAAACCTAAGACTCTCGACGCCAGAGTTTATAGTGCGTCGGCATTTCATTGATACTCCGCCTTCGCATTCATCGTATAATCGAAAGACAGTCTAGGCATCTGGAGCGCAATTTGCCTTTGTTTTGAATAGGATGGTTTCGTGCCAGAGGAGGGTGGAAGCTCTTCTCAGCATGCATTGCAACTCATTAATATTCACAATCATGATTTTTCACAATGTTAGTTGGAAAAGTTGTGGATATTTATTTCGATATTTCGCCACGAAAAGTTCGTATTTTTGAAGGTAAGTTGTTATAATTGTTTTAAATATGAGTCAAATTAACGATTTTTGCCTTATTTGGTGTTTTAACAACGTTTAGTTGTATGTTAATCGCAATTTGTATTGACCTGTTTTCCGGGTCAATGCACAAGTGTCAAAAGTGGCTTTCAAAACCGCTGGGGACAATTGGGTTTATAAATGAGTAAATTAAATAAAAGACACGCCATCGTATTCAGGAAGAGTTGTTCTTTCTATGAGAAGTTTAAAAAATGAATTGTCCCCATGAAACTGACGAGTAATCGCGGTTTGAAAATGGGACATTTTCGGTATACTATGTCGCCCATCGCGGGAATAGTCGATCGCATGGGAATTATGGCGCGAGGAAAATTACTGTACGAGTCGTTATTATTTTTGTTTTATTTCGAAGCATGCGCATATATGTCGATCGTTGTTGAGTTTAACTGCTGCTTTTAAGTTAAATACACTGTATTTCACCATTATTTTTATAGAATTCGAATATATTTTGTGAAAATGGAATCTGATAATGATGGCAATGTTGTTTATATTGTTGATCCTGAGTATGGGAAAAGTTGAACTAATATGAATTTAATGTTGATTTAGAACTGTTATTGAACAAACTGTTCCTACATCCTGCTTTGGCAAATGGTATAACATCTAATCCTGCCAAGTTGTGCTCATGATCCATTCAACCGATTCAAGCAATGAAACTATTGAACCAGAATAATAAGAGCAACCTGTTATATAAATTTGCCCATACCAGCCTTTTAATAGATACATATTTTAGTAGACATTTTACATGTAAATATTGGTGTATTGGTGACATGAAAATGTTGCAATGAATCTTAAGTATTTACTTTATATATTGTAACTTTGAATAAAGCATTTTATTAACATCAATTATGTATGACCACTGCATTTATATGACAATATCAGGGGTGGATTTACTGGGGTTCCCCCCCCACCTAGCCCTGGCCAGAGGGTATGCAGGGGGGGGTATTTTCATGATAAAACAAAGAATATTAGAGACAAAATGAGTAATTTGAGTAATAACATGATGATAAGTAAACTGTTTGTTAACAACAATTACAATACAGTAGTCAAGCAAGACTTTGCTGTAGTCAAGTAAGTTGATGGGTGGGTAGCGCACCTGACTGACACAACTCGGCACCAGAGCTGGCAGAGCACCCTCCCTACCACATCATTTAGATCAGTGATCCATCTGTGCTAAATATACAACAGTTAAAACATGCACAAGGTGGACTATAAGATAAAGTAGGGATTTGATGACTGCAGTAAACAAACACAGCAAATTGAGTTTGAAAACATTTATTTATTTGAAAAAGGAATGGTAAAATTATATTTAACAATTATTCGCCGAAGGCGAGGTCATTATCAGGGAATATTTGCCGAGGTGAATATTCACAGATAATCACAGAGCCTGGGGCGAATAATTGTTTTAGTATTTTTGCACAAGTTTTTTTGTATTTTGCTGGTCTGAATTCATTTTAATTTCGCTTATTTCTTTATTACTAACTTCAACAAAACAGCTAGCACATAACAGATTAATACGTCAAATTTGACCAATCACCTTGTAGCATTTGTTATGTTCACTTGTGCAAAAATACTAATATCAAATATTTACCTGAAATAATAACAGGAGTTTTATTAATAGGAATAAATTTATATGAAAATCTCGACTAAAAATGTCTTGCTCATGTTCTACTTTAAATTTCAACTTGAGATTTTTTGATCATCTAACATGATTATCACAAGTTGCATGGTATCTTTGTACTCGCCAGGAACCAGCTACAACAAACTTCTCAGGATACAAAGTGTCCTCCACAATCATTGTCTTAATTCTCAGGATACAATGTGTCTCCTCCACAATCCTTGTCCTTCAGAATCCTTGTCTCCATCATTCTCCTAATCAGAGCTTGAATCACGCATGTATTTAGCATCACCAGTAGCCTGTTACACACTCAACAATTGGGTCAAATGCTGAATTTCATCAATCTTGTCCATGTCTGCAACTCCACCTTCTGCACCAATACTTTCAACATCACCAGGCATCTCTTCACCATGAATTTTAACCAGACACATAGGATTTAATGGCTCATCTAAATTCACCAGTGGTAGGTCATTCAGTATATCCTCTAAAATATCCAGCTTGGGTGGTCAAATTGTTACAGAAGTTGGTGATGGAATAATGTTAAACTCCCACAACAGAGCACAACATAAGTACTACAGGTAAAAAAAGATTTGATGCATTTATACAGGGACGTTGGAACAATAAAAGGCAAGGGCACCTTTATAATTATGTGTTGACTTGCCAATGAAAGCCTGATTGTGCATGTTCCATTGACGATAGCTGTTCTGTGTTCTGGAAATAAAGTCTACTCAAGGAACTATAACTGCACAAACACACTTAATCAGGTCACATTCAAGTTCACACCTCATGACTTTGCCCAAAACTGGAGATAAGATTTAGCAGGCAGAATTTCTATAACACAAAGTGCACTTCTGCCCCCCTTGCCCCTCCTCCCTGCTTTTATATTAAAATAGATTTGACTCATTTGACATAAACTCATAAAGTCAAATACTTGTAGTCTTGTATGATTTCCGAGTATAAATGGCCCATTTTCCCACCAATTAAATCATAAAATAATCGTACCTTAAGGTCACAACTAGAATAGATTTCTATCAATGAAGGACTATCGCATTCGGCGAACATATAATAAGTCAACTTTTACGCCAAAGCCCAAATGTTGTCGTTATCCATAAAACTAGAAGTTCGACATCCCTTCACGAAGCATGCAGCTCCAGTCGCTCTTTCGACACACAATGTACATAAAGATTGTCACGTCCATCCAAATCAGTAGCTTTGTTGCCACGAACAGTACGAAAATTCGCCATGATTTACAATTTTCAATTTGTACTTTTGAATACCGCTCCTTGTAAATTGAATAGTAAACATGACCATGGCACAAGGAATGCAACTAAGCTTCACAAGACTTATAAAAGAACGAATTATGTAAGTCATGTAATCCATACTCTTTCTAACAAAGGAGTTGATGTTTGGAATAGCATAGCATCTAAATACAAATCTATTTTCTCTTATAGTACTTTTAAAATTAAAATAAAAAATCATTATATATTCAACAATGGATGTATAATAATTTAAAACATATTATCACTTTCTTTACTGTAAATATACATATATAGTATCCTCCACTTCGAATATATATAATTAAGTTTTTATGCATGTTAATGTTTTATTTTATACTTGTTATATACGCATTTATCTTTGTTCAATCTAATATATTATTCGAACTGACTAAATAGAATGAAACAATGTAAGTATAGTCAATAGGGGTCTTAATTAAAAAGCCTAGTAGGTTTCTAGAAGGCTCCTAGCCTATCCAAAACAATAGAAAAATAAATGTAAATAACTTGATATTTTTTAAGGGCGTAAAAAATAATAAAAAAAAACAAAAAAAAAAAACACGACGAGAGCCAGTCGAACAATGACGGCGCGTCCCGGGAAATCGATAATATGAATGAGTTACAATGCATGCCGGGAAGGGCTTCCAACCTCCTCTGGTTTCGTGCCAGAGGAGGGTGGAAGCTCTTCTCAGCATGCATTGCAACTCATTAATATTCACAATCATGATTTTTCACAATGTTAGTTGGAAAAGTTGTGGATATTTATTTCGATATTTCGCCACGAAAAGTTCGTATTTTTGAAGGTAAGTTTTTGTAATTGTTTTAAATATGAGTCAAATTAACGATTTTTGCTTTATTTGGTGTTTTAACAACGTTTAGTTATATGTTAATCGCAATTTAGATTGACCTGTTTTCCGGGTCAATGCACAAGTGTCAAAAGTGGCTTTCAAAACCGCTGGGGACAATTGGGTTTATAAATGAGTAAATTAAATAAAAGACACGCCATCGTATTCAGGAAGAGTTGTTCTTTCTATGAGAAGTTTAAAAAATGAATTGTCCCCATCAAACTGACGAGTAATCGCGGTTTGAAAATGGGGCATTTTCGGTATACTATGTCGCCCATCGCGGGAATATTATCGACCGCATGGGAATTATGGCGCGAGGAAAATTACTGTACGAGTCGTTATTATTTTTGTTTTATTTCGAAGCATGTGCATATATGTCGATCGTTGTTGAGTTTAACTGCTGCATTTAAGTTAAATACACTGTATTTTACCATTATTTTTATAGAATTCGAATATATTTTGTGAAAATGGAATCTGATGATGGCAATGTAATGTTGTTTATATTGTTGATCCTTAGTATGGGAAAAGTTGAACTTATGAATTTAATGCTGATTTAGAACTGTTATTGAGCAAACTGTTCCTACATCCTGCTTTGGCAAATGGTATAACATCTAATCCAGCCAAGTTGTGCTCATGATCCATTCAACTGATTCAAGCAATGAAACTATTGAACCAGAATAATAAGAGCAACCTGTTATATAAATTTGCCCATACCAGCCTTTTAATAGATACATATTTTAGTAGACATTTTACATGTAAATACTGGTGTATTGGTGACATGAAAATGTTGCAATGAATCTTAAGTATTTACTTTATATATTGTAACTTTGAATAAAGCATTTTATTAACATCAATTATGTATGACCACTGCATTTATATGACCACCCCCCACCTAGCCCTGGCCAGAGGGTATGCAGGGGGGGGGGGGGTATTTTCATGATAAAGCAAAAAATATTAGAGTCAAAATGAGTAATTTGAGTAATAACATGATAAGTAAAGTTAGTAAACTGTTTGTTAACAACAATTACAATACAGTAGTCAAGCAAGACTTTGCTGTAGTCAAGTAAGTTGATAGGTGGGTGGCACACATGACTGACACAACTCGGCACCAGAGCACCCTCCCTACCACATCATACTGGATCCATATTTAGATCAGTGATCCATCTGTGCTAAATATACAGCTGTTAAAACAGTGTTAAGAACACATGCACAATGACTGCAGTAAACAAACACAGGAAATTGAGTTTGAAAACATTTATTTATTTGAAAAAGGAATGGTAAAATTATATTTAACAATTATTCGCCGAAGGCGAGGTGATTATCGGGGAATATTTGCCGAGGTTAATATTCCCAGATAATCACAGAGCCTGAGGCGAATAATTGTTTTAGTATTTTTGCACAAGTTTTTGTATTTTTCTGGTCTGAATTCATTTTAATTTCGCTTATTTCTTTATTACTAACTTCAACAAAACAGCTAGCCGCCATTTTGAAAATTTCGATTTTGTTATAATATAACAGATTAATACATCAAATTTGACCAATCACCTTGTAGCATTTGTTATGTTCACTTGTGCAGAAAAATACTAATATCAAATATTTACCTGAAATAATAACAGTGTTTTAATAGGAATAAATTTATATGAAAATCTCAACTAAAAATGTCTTGCTCATGTTCTACTTTAAATTTCAACTTGAGATTTTTTGATAATCTATACATGATTATCACAAGTTGCATGGTATCTTTGTTCTCGCCAGGCACCAGCTACAACAAACTTCTCAGGATACAAAGTATCCTCCACAATCCTTGTCTTAATTCTCAGGATACAATGTGTCTCCTCCACAATCCTTGTCCTTCAGAATCCTTGTCTCCATCCTCCTAATCAGAGCTTGAATCATTCATGTATTTAGCATCATCAGTAGCCTGTTCCACACCCAATAATTGAGTCAACTGCTGAATTTCATCAATCTTGTCCATGTCTGCAACTCCACCTTCTGCACCAATACTTTCCACATCACCAGGCATCTCTTCACCATGAATTTTAACTAAACACATAGGATTTAATGGCTGTTTAATGCAATTGCATAACAATGGCTCATCTAAATTCACCAGTGGTAGGTCATTCAGTATATCCTCTAAAATATCCAGCTTGGGTGGTCTGATTGTTACAGAAGTTGGTGATGGAATAATGTTAAACTCCCACAACAGAACACAACATAAGTACTACAGGTAAAAAAAGATTTGATGCATTTATACAGGGACGTTGGAACAATAAAAAGGCAAGGGCACCTTTATAGACCTACAATTATGTGTTGACTTGCCAATGAAAGCCTGAGTGTGCATGTTCCATTGACGATAGCTGTTCTGTGTTCTGGAAATAAAGTCTACTCAAGGAACTATAACTGCACAAACACACTTAATCAGGTCACATTCAAGTTCACACCTCGTGACTTTGCCCAAAACTGGAGATAAGATTTAGCAGGCAGAATTTCTATAACACAAAGTGCACTTCTGCCCCCCTTGCCCCTCCTCCCTGCTTTTATGATATTAAAATAGATTTGACTCATTTGACATTCAAATACTTGTAGTCTTGTATGATTTCCGAGTATAAATGGCCCATTTTCCCACCAATTAAATCATAAAATAATCGTACCTTAAGGTCACAACTAGAATAGATTTCTATCAATGAAGGACTATCGCATTCGGCGAACATATAATAAGTCAACTTTTACGCCAAATGTTGTCGACTTGTCGTTATCCATAAAACTAGAAGTTCGACATCCCTTCACGAAGCAGCTCCAGTCGCTCTTTCGACACACAATGTACATAAAGATTGTCACGTCCATCCAAATCAGTAGCTTTGTTGCCACGAACAGTACGAAAATTCGCCATGATTTACAATTTTCAATTTGTACTTTTGAATACCGCTCCTTGTAAATTGAGTAGTGAACACAACGAGAGCCAGTCGAACAATGACGGCGCGTCCCGGGAAATCGATAATATGAATGAGTTACAATGCATGCCGGGAAGGGCTTCCAACCTCCTCTGGTTTCGTGCAATGGACTTCATCGGTTCATTGACTGAAGACGTCGCAACATGTCAATATTTTCACGTGCCACCTCAACAAGCTCATTCTGAAGTCTTACATTAACATTTTTGTACTTTTTTACATTTTCCTCGTGTCTTGCATGAAGTGAATGAAGGAAAAATTATTGAACTTGGTTATCGTATAAAAATATCGTGAGTTGTCAGTGCTTCGCAACTGACAAATGGCGATATTTTCCTTCACTACAGAAGCCTTACATAATCCCCGTACAGTTAAAACAAAGCAGTCAGTGTTAATAATGTGTAGAACAATGTTGTAGAAACACGCGAGGCGAGTAACGTACCTACAGTTATATCAAAGACTAATTGAATTCCCTGTTAAGTTCGGAAATTGCGACATTGCCCTATTTTCTTGAATGTTTTACTATTATCTTTCTTGTTTTCAGCTTATTTTTCCCACTTTTTCCCAACTTACGTTCAACATTTGCCCGACTATCGACATTTGAATTTTTTCTGGGGGGGAGGGGGCAACTGCCACTGCCCCCTGCTCCCATCCCCGCCTCGTACGCGTGTGGTCAATGCAGAAAACAACTGACTGCTTTGATATAACTGTATATAGATTATGTTTGATTAATTTAAGCCGGTTTTCCACTAGCGAAACGAATCCTTTGTTTTCTAACCTCTCGGCTGGAACTAATTAGATTTTTAATTAATTATTTTCAATTTTAACCATAAAAAAATCGGTTCGCGCGAAGAAATTTACTAGTGGAAAACCCGCTTGATGTAGGGATATTGCATGATATTTATTGATATATTAAACAGGACATAGTTGAGTTCCCATTGGCTCAACCCAAGGCCAATAATTGACTCGTTCCTGTATATCATAGTCGTTCCTTAACTGTAGATTCCTCTCAAGATTCAAGCCCTAGCTTAAACCATAGAAAATCAAAGGAATGTCTATACTTAAACTAACTTCAGTTTCGAAAAAGGAATTACTTTCCACACGAGCATTATGTGTTAATGAATTTCCTTTCCCGAAAGAAAATTTCCCAATACACAACTCCAACAAGTTGATATTCTCGCGAGAATTTTATTTCGCTAACACTATAAATAAACTGGCTCGATTAGCTTGCACTTTTCTGTCAATCGTGTTCCAGGAATCATAGCTCAGAAATCAGGTGAATTTTCAGCAAAAGGAAGTAGTTTTAATCTTCACTCCATGCAGTAATTTTGGAGGGTCCTGAAGGGGTAAAATGGGAACTGGGATTGATCTCTTTTTAGACTGGGAAAATGGGATTTGGGTTGCTGGGACTGGGATTTGGTCACTGGGAATGGGAAATGAAGTCCTCAAAAATGGGAATGGGATTAGGTAATGCGAGTCGATTCCCAATTTTTCTATGTTTTAAGTATTTTAAAATACAATTTTGATCCGTTTTTGGTGTCTTTGGTCATGATTTTTGTTGTTAACTATATTATTCACAGCACTGCCTGCGAACAGGCATACTATCGCGCCCGGAATTCTGGGTTTTCTGATTATGTGTGTCTCAGAATGCTGCAAATGCCATTTCCGGGATTCAAATTTAAAAATTTTCCGTGCCTTTGGCACCCCCCCCCCCCAATTTCATAAAGTGTGCGCCACTTGCACACACGGTGGCTTAAAAGTCTTAAAACTGTTTATTGTACCGATAAATAAAGGGTTTTTTATTGACTGGGATTTCAATCACTTTGACTGGGATTTCTAATAAAAATCCAACTGGGACTGGGATTTTGCCAAAATTTCAGGTGGGAAATGGGATTGGGACCCCCCCATTCAGGACCCTCAATTTTGGGCAAAAGTAAGTTGCTCAGGCCTCGGCGCGCGTCCAATTGCGTAACTGCTCAGCCCACCGCGATTATGTAGATTCTTTGACGAGTATCGCGTTCAGGCTTGTTCGCTTTAAAGCTATTTTAGACTACTATATAGTGCAACAAAGCTAAATTCAACCTCATATCCAGGGCCTTTGCGCGGTTCAGAGGAACCGCGCAAAGGCCCTGGGTACGAGGTTGAGCCATTGAACTATAAATAAACTGGAAGGCTAACTCAGGGGGGGAAATTGAAGCCAGTGCATTTTAGTTTTTCTGAGTTATGAGCAGAAATACTCAACACTGAACGTTGGGCTATATATCAAATTGAAGCTATTGAAAAACGCTACTTGGTGTAGAAATTTCAAGACTTTAGCTAAAAAGGAAATACTGAAAAACTACAAACATAATTACCGATAATTTGCCGTTTTGCAGTTGTTTTCGTATTTTTTTATTAGAAAACAATTTTCAATAGCTTCAATTTGATATATAGCCCGACGTTTGGGGTCAAGTATTTCTGCTCATAACTCAGAAAAACTATTTTGGCTTCATCAAATCATAGGCCTTCATCATAGCAGTTAGCCTTCCAGTTTATTTATAGTTCAATGGGTTGAGCCAGCTAAATTTTCTCAAAACAGGGGGGGGGGGCGTATATTGTCCTTGCGTAGCCACATGTTTGGATTTACATGAAGTACTTCACTTTCCGCGTGTGATACATTGAACTAAAAAGAACTGGAACGATACCTCCAGCCGGAAATGTGAAGCCATGCCCAGGCATGCCCACTGTTGTCATACCCAGTCTTTCCACGCAACGGAAAAACGCGTTTTTTTTAAATTTCCAAAAACGGGGTCAAAATGCACTAAAACATCGTTCAAGACAACGTAAAATGTACCTACCAGTACATTTTTTTACGATAAAAACATCCTTCAAAACTCTACAGTAAAATATTTTTAATTTATTTGTGTAAAAATCGTAATTAAATTTTCTTTTTTGATAAAAACGTTGAGCGAGGAGTGGAACTTGCCGTCGTCTACTCATAAATATTTGTGTGAATTTCCCTATTTTGCTCATTCGTTTTCCAATTTAATACTTCTGAAAGTCAGGAAAAAAGGTATTCTAACAAAATTAAACTACCAACCACAGTTTAACTATGTTTTGAAGTAGAATATTTAAGTTTTAAGAGTACAAATATAAACATTAAAGTTTCTTTTCTCCCCAGTCCTTTTTTGAACTTCAAAGCGCAAATTACTGGGGAGTTATTTAGTAAAAAATATTTTCAACAGCAAAATAGCAATTTAAAAGGCAAAAAATACTAATTATGTGAAAGTGTATGTAAAGATACCATGCCACTCACATGTGTCATTCGTGCATTGCCAGAAAAACGCGACATGCGATTGCGCAACACCTCAAGCGCACGTATCCGATTGCTTTTAATTAAAATATTTTTATATGGAATTGTATTAGAATTGCACAATTATTTAAAATATTAGCTAAACTGTTTGTGAATCGGAACAAACGAAAGCAAGACATTATACAGTAAATATCGGAGAATATTATCCACCAAATAGTTACCGTATACTACAAATCGCGACTTGTCCCCTGCGAATTTTATGAAATTCAGTTCTCTATAAGGCCGTGACTGTAATAATACATGTCAAGTAGACGACAGTGACTATAAAACAGGCAAAAAAAATTATATGAACGGACAAAATTTACAAACGAAACTTGAAGTTGCGACTCGAAGATGTCTAGTATCGTGATATATAAATATTTCGTTCGCTTATCTTATTCCCGTTTGTCCCTGGTAAAATATATTTCAACGCACACGAAAGCGTTCGCAAATCCTCCGCTAAAGGAGCAAATATCTTGCACATTGAAACAGCCATAACTTCTCGAATATTTGGGGTATTTCAAAACTTTAAAGACGAAATTAAAGCTCGTCTTCAAAATTATAGTCTCCATGATGTTTTGTTTATGTTCGGAGCATGAAATAATATATATTCGCCACTGACCAAACCGTTGTGTGGCCTCATGTTTGTGAGACTTCAATACGGTACTGGGCAGCGGTATGCTTCATTTTCCCACGAAATTTAAATAACGCGCCAACTGCAAATACTCAAAAGTCCGAGTATTTGAGCATCCCGCAGAAGCAAAAATTTAAGTCAGGGATTCAGTATTCTACACGCAACACTAAGTGATCACCCGAGCCTGATTCCCAATATTTATAGTAAATTGTATTACTAATACAGCAATACAATACGATTCCTTCGCTGCGCGTCGTAGACAATACAAATTCCTACATTCGATGAGGTTCTTACGACTTTGAATGATATAAAAACGAAGAAATATAATCTTCCCTTCCCTTGTCCCTGCCTTGTTGTTTTAAAGGTAGTTTAGACTTTAGAATATCCAAGACCGATAACTGAATTTCGACCTTCGTCTTGCTTCCAATAGCATGGCCATAACTCGGTGCGATTTCGGTCAATTTCTTTTCCTAAATTATTTTTTTGAAGCTCGTTTCTTGCTTGTCTTTAATAACATGCTTTTAAGTCATACACTCAAGTTTTTATCATTAAATACTGCTGAAATCTCGGGTTTTGGGCAATCCTAATCAAACCAAAGGCCAGACGAAAGCCGCGGGATATTGATAAACCTCCGGATCGTATATCACAAAATATTTCAATTACTCATGCGCAACACTTGACACGCTGACAAAAGTACGTGTGCCTCGCAGTCGCATATGTCGCATATTTCTGGCGATGTTTTGAAATTACACAATTGTCCATTTTTGAACAATCACACAGTAGTCCACTTTTGAACAATTACAGTAAGTACTAAAAAGAACATCGTTAGTTTTCAGCCTTTTGCAATAAGATTTCAGCCTTTTGCAATAAGGTAAAGGTGGATTTCTTCGACGAAATATTTCACTTCATTTCTTTTGAATTGGGACCATCCGAATAAATCAGCTCTACTTGACCGCTCGGCGCTCGCAATAGACCTTATGCATGATGACGTCACAAGGCTTGATGCCCGTGAGGAATGCTGGTCTTAGTAGTCATCGTCCGGGAAAATTAAACAATTGAAAATGGCTACTATCGAGATCTTCCTGGGCATTGAGCCTTGTGACGTCATTATGCATAAGGTCTATTCAGAAGAAATTGAGCTAAAAATTTCGACAGCGAAATCTCGAAAGTGGAAATCCAGCTTATTGTCCATTTCCCACTAGGCGAATTTGTTCGCGCGAAGCGAAAAACAAATCTTGGGCTTGGCAATTTGATAGGTCAGCGAAAAAATTCGCCGCGAAAAAGTTGGATCAATTCCTCCCTTTTACTGTTCGCGTGAGCAAATTCGCCTAGTGCAAGCTTAAAACGAAAGCGCGCGATCAGGACTGGAACTTGGTCAGGCGTTGTATTTGTGTCAGTGTTACATAAAACTGCATTCGAAGCATTGAAACATGCGTGGTTTTACTTGTACATTCGCGTAATGAAATTAGTATAGGAAATTACACGGTTCGAGAAGTATTGATGAAAAATCGCACGCGTGTTTGGCGAAATATTCATAATCCCGCGAGTGCGTAGCACGAGCGGTATTATAAATATTTCGCCGAACACAAGTGTGATTTTTCATTAATACTTCGAGAACAAGTGTAATTTCCTATTAATATTATTTTACAGTCAATTTTACACGAGCAATCAATGATAAGAAACATTGTATTTGTATTCAAGCGAGCACAGCCATGCATACACGCGCCTCTGCATGTGGTCAATTTTTGAGAGCACTGTCTGACATTAATTTTCAATTCATACCTGTAAAAACTGTGAATAATCTTTATTTCTTCTTTTTTCTTCGTTATGAAAGCATAAATAAGAGTTCATTGTAAACTAAGAGCTCAGAAAATGTACATTTTCAACTAAAGTTGTCTGTTTTCAAGTTGACATTTTGTGTTCACTCCACGCATGATCCACGCGGGCTCGTATCCGTGCCGATTAATCTGTAATCGGCACACTGTGCCGATTAATGTTTAATCGGCACGGTTTTTAACCAATCAGAATCGAGTAAATTGACTAAAATGATATTAATACATTAAGATACTGCATGCGCTTGATTGTGTTTTGATCACAAATTATCGCAACACTGCAGGGCTTAAAAAATAGGCTTACGGACGTACGATTGTACACTGAAATTAGCTTGGCGTATGAAATTAGCTTCGGACAAGTACGATCGCGTACACTTCCTACAGCAGAGCTGAACCGATACCCCTTTCTGTTTACATACATACATACAAAACTTTATTTAAACCACGCTAGCCTCAAAGAAACGTGGAGTTCACTGCTCGAATACCGGATCGCCATCTTTGTTACGTCGTTTAAATCCAGCATTTCAAACGCATTTCTATACGGGAATTTTATACGAAAACTAGTTTTCAAAATCGTACGTCAACATCGATTAAACTAAACTTACGTCAACTTGGTACAGAGCGTACGACCTCGTACGGCATTTCTGATTTATTTTTAAGCCCTGAACAGGAAAGTATCTTAGTGCGCTTTCTGATTTGTTATTTTTCATTGGTTCATCGCAGGGCCACAAGTTCGGTTCCTTCCAGAGGACCTATACAGTAGTTGCATTTTTTGCAACTGCTCCTGATTAGATCTAATTATAATGTATAGAATTTACACTCGTAACTGTTACAAAATCCTTCAACATTAGTTCTGTCAATGAGAATATGAGATACCCAAAGTCCTGATATCTTTTATTGGTACTGTATGTCGGCTCATCCCCAGAATCAGACGCAGTGGCAGACTTTTCAACAAAGTACCACACTGTACAACACAATCATTTGTTCTTTATCGTTACAGAAATCCCACTGTCTTTACATTTTGGTTCTTTGTTAAAGAAAGGAAACTTTCAAAGTAAAATTTTCAAACTCAACCCTCCTAATGATACGAAGGCTGCCACGAAAAGGTAGGAATTTTTGAACTTACTAAAATACATCATTCTTGCGTTCGCCCGTCATTCATTCGTTTATTTCTATGGAATAGATTTAAGATTTTGTCAATAATAAGACAGTATTTGCCATGGATTATTATACTCTGGATAAGAAACTCTATAACAAACGTACTTGCAGGAAGGTGCGTCCAGGATTGATGCACCGAGGGGGGCTGCGAAATCACCAAAAAAACCAGGAGTCACCCGAAAAAGTTCTTTAAAGTTTAGGTTTATATGCTAAATCCGCCATTGTTATTGATGCGGACGGCAACATAAGCAGTTTTATCGCGAGTGAGTTTGGCGAATGGCAGGTGAGTTAGAAAAAAAATTCACCTGCTCGGAACCAATCAGAAAGCCGCTTTTAGCGTGGGACAAGTGTTCAGGGAGTAGGCATGATAATATTTTCAGCGTGCCGATGGCGTCCCAACCTTATTAAAAATTAGCGACCTTAAGGCTGATTTCCACTGTTGCGTTTTTCATACGTACGTAACGTAAAACTTTAAATCCGTTTAAATGTTACTTATGAAATAACCAAATAAATAAAGCAACAGAATTTAGTGTTCCGCAAGTTTTAGTATGCATTTGTTAACTTATTTGTAAAATATTTTAAAAATAGAACGATTCAAAGTTTTACGTGCGTACGAAAAACGCAACAGTGGAAATCAGTCTTTAAGCATGTAGGACGCGAACGCGACGGCGACGATAAACAAACTTTGAACCAAATGATTGCAGAAGAAACCTGTCGTCTTTTATCTATCTTATGAAAAATAATACAATTTAAGGATTCAGATTAAACTTACAGGGTTTATGATTGAGAAAAGTTCTGAGACCCAATTGAAAGTATCAGTTGTATCAGCTTGAAATGTAAGCGTTGTATACAAGACATGATGATAATCTGTATTTTGCTGTCGTAAAAAGAGCGACGTCTAAAACTTGCGTGGGATTTTAATTGTTAATTTCTGCTCATTTTCTTGTATTATCCTGCTCGTTGAAGTTTTTAATAACAGTAGTTCTTTATGATTATAAAAATGTAAAATTTTATAAGCTTGCTTTAGTTCGCTATTATGACATCACTAAATCCAAAATAATTCCACGCTTAGCAATAATATAGTTGAGTATTTTAGTAAAAAAAACACACGGTAATACAACCATAGAATACACTATACGATGGAATATATTGTCGGTCATTTTCGGGGAACATGCATTAGACGGTGAATACAAACTTCAGTTATATTTGCGACGCCAATTTCTTGATTAAGAAAATTCAAAGTAGAGAAACTGAAACAAAGACGAACAACAATTTCCTCTAATACAGACAGGTTTAAAAGACAATGAAACCATTTTAATTTCAATATAACTACTTGAATGCGAGAAATATAGGAAAATGGAACAAAAAAGCAGTAAACTAAATTTACTATATTCGTTGAATTCGTGACATCACAAATTTCAAATAGGTCACGTTTGCTGCCGTCTGCTGTCTCTTATCCAGACAGTCTTTTAACTATCCATGATAATTACCAACTGATGTAGCCTGAAAATCAGACCTGGAGAAAGTATTTAATGTTCCTCGCATCCAATGTTCTTCAAAAGTGCATAAAAACAATAGAAAATTTGACCGTACATTACGCCATCATGTATGGAACAACAAAGTATACTCGACTCTAATGATATAATGTCTCAAATGACACAAGTATGATATAATGATTCGTTAAGATTCTCCCCTAACGTGTGTGTGAGAGATTGAAAATGTTCCTCGATCCTCTTGCTATCGCAATTGTTCCTCAGAATACCAAGATCGAAAATTTGACCGTACATTACGCCATCATGTATGGAACAACAAAGTATACTCGACTCTAATGATATAATGTCTCAAATGACACAAGTATGATATAATGATTCGTTAAGATTCTCCCCTAACGTGTGTGTGAGAGATTGAAAATGTTCCTCGATCCTCTTGCTATCGCAATTGTTCCTCAGAATACCAAGATCGAATTTTTTCCTAAGTCCGCTGTAAATGTAGTTGGGAAATTGTTTTGTACTTAAACATGTTCTTATCATTCATTTAGAAAATATGTTCGATCGACTAGTTCGCCAGCTGCAATTAAGAAAAAGGAACGAAAAGAGGCTCTGGAATTGTCGTACAAGAAGCAAGGTATGTTGTTAATGGATGTTTATATCATTTGCTTCCACTTGTTTTTCAAATCGCCTCGTTTTGTTTAATAATTACACCTGTTTTCCAATGTAACTTTGGGTTATCAATTGTCCCCTTTGCGAAGGCAAGTCTGTAAGACTACAATCACGGCCGAATTTTTGTGGAAAGCGCGCTGATGTTGTGAAACGACACAAAACCCCCCTCAGAAATTTGTACATTTTTCCCTTTCCCCTCAGAAAAATCGCAGAGATCAAAGGATGCCGACGGGCTCTTCAACCCCTCAGAAACGATTATGGGGTCACCCTTCAGAATATATAAATGAAATGACCCAAATGTATTATAATTAACAAATATAAAACATTTTCCGTGTTGATATAACTATATATCAATACAGAAAAAATGTTTTATATTTGTTTTATAATAT